CCTTGGGAATTGTAGAACTTAAACGCACGCAAAACAAATTAGTGATTGTCCCCACCACCTTCCTTTGACTGCAAATAGCTCGGTTTTTTTTTTTTTTAAACATGTTGAAATTATTTACGTGTTAATTATAAAAAGTTAAATATCATTTTTAGTCCCTCTACTATAGGAAAAAGCTTCTTTTTAGTCTTTGTACTGAAAAAATCTCATTTTTGGTCCTTACTGTTTACAAATCCGACCCCTTTTTGGTCATTCCGTTAATTTTTGCTTACATGGCATGTTAACTTAACTAGAACAGCTGATGTGGGTATGCCAACGTGTAAAATATGTTTATGTGGACTCCACGTCACCCCCACTTCCTTCAGCCTTTTTTTTTTTTGGTCTTTTTTTCCTTTTACCTTCAGGCGAACCCAGCTCGCGGGTTTGTGATGAACCCAGGCGCCTAGTTCATTGCGAACCCAGGATGAACCCAGCTCGCGCGACTGGGTTCACGACTGGATTGGCAATGAACCCAGCTCGCGCCTGGGTTCGCGACATACCCAGGCACAAGTTGGGTTCTCAATCTCAGCCAAGTCGCGAACCCAAGCGCAACTGGGTCCTCAATCCCTGCCAAAAAAAAGAAAGCATGTTCTTCTCAAACAAATAGCTCTAGAAACATCCAACAACAGAAGCAGAAATGAACCCAACAGTAGCAAAAATTTCACTACAATTACAATGTCAGTATCATTCCAAACCAAATCCATCCATATCGAAACCAATCAACTACTACGTCTTCCCCACTAATCTAGAACACGAGCTCACAAAAAAACAAAAGACATGAGAACGAACAGAGAAGAGGAAAGCGGGACTGACCAGCTCCTGGGTTCGTCGCGAATCCACGCTCGGTTTGTCGCGATGAACCCTGCTCGTGGGTTTGCGACGAACCCAGGAGCTAGATTCATCGCGACAAACCTAGGCTCCTGGGTTCGTCGCGAATCCACGCTAGGTTCGTCGTGATGAACCCTGCTCGTGGGTTCGTGACGAACCCAAGAGCTAGGTTCATCGCGAGGAACCCATGCTCCTGGGTTCCTTGCTAATCCACGCTGGGTTCGTCGCGATGAACCTGCTCGTGGGTTCGTTCGCCTAAAGGTAAGAAAAAAAAGAAAAAAAAAAGGCTGAAGGAAGGAGAGGATGGGAGAAGAAAATGAGGGTAAATTGGTAATTAAAGATAAAAAATTTGGCCATGTCATTGGGTTTTACCAGATGGATTTCACACGTCATTTAAGTAAAGAAAAAAAATAAAATTTTTCGTTAATTAACCTGCCACATCAG